AAACAGACTACAATTTTGACATAGGGAATGGTACTTTGTTTAAACGAGAAAATAATCCACTAAGATTAAAATGTCTGGAAAGTGCCTTGATCTCTAGTTCAGCCATGATAAATTTGTATCCAGGCTCTTACAATATATCACCATTCTCAGTAGATTTTATATTGTCACAGTGTGGGATAGCCAGGGACAAAGGTGATGGAGAGAAAAAGAATACAGATGAATTTGACTAGACTGAAAAAAAATTTTTTTTTCAAAAAACTTTGAAACTACATGCATCTCTTGTTTTGTGTGCTTGTGTAGATGTGACAACGTTGACAAAGCCCAATCCAATGAAATCTTAACGGATGAAACGTGTTACAAAAACTTTTCCAGTTTGTCATATTGTTCTAAATATATATATTTAATTAATCAGATAAACTTTTCAAAATTATGGATGATCCTTCTCAGACAAGGAGGAATTTTCGTCAGAAATTGTCCAAACTTAATTTTGGAAGAAATAGGGTTCAAGCTTTCAACTTTGTTATTGTCAGGGTAGGTAGAGACAAATGGAGAGTGTTGTGATGTTGCAAGGTGTGACACGTTTTTTCATTTTTATAGACATATGCAGGCTCATATATATATAACTGTACAAGGCCCATGAACCACTAAAAGTAGAGGGTGACATTAAGAGGCAGTTTATACAGATAGAAGATAATGGCTAACCTTAGACTTGAACAGGTTAAGATTGTAGTGATTGGGGAAACATCTTCTTGGGAGTCGGTTCCACAGAGTGGGCTGAAGCTGTTTGAGTGGAATTTACTTCTCACTGGTGGAAAATATATATATATATATATATATATATATCTCAATTGATAATTAGTAGGAATAATTCCAAGGAGGAAATTAATGCAAAAGAGCACAATGCAAACACACACATATATATATATATATATATATATATATATATATATAGAAGGGTAGGATGGGGGTCTCAAGCTAGGAATGTCAACCTTCCTAGAGATGGTGTCTCAATAAAAACATTTGGTGTATTTAGACTATCGCGAGTGTCCGAGTTGGGCATCAGGATGAGCATCTGGCCTTGTAAAAAATTGTTGCAAATCATTATGTAAATGATTTGTGCAAGATTAATCCTGGTCCTGCCTTAATAAAAAAAACAAAAACAAAAAAGCTATCTATGTATGTATGTAATTGAAATGTTTGCACACACTTCATGCAACAACAATTACATATTACTAAGCAATTGTTCATATTTATGAAGCTTGATTCAGCCTTATACAGATCAATCTTACTCTTCTAGCAATGGTCTGTAAGATGAACTTGTCACCACTCACAGATGTGTGATGTGTTTTGGCTCAGCTATTTATATATGCTGGTCATTGTCACAACACAACACACATAGCCTGAAGATTGCATTTATCATTTTGATCATAATTTTATAGATTTCTTTCCAAATGATTACTAAATCTGCTGCTAGGAAAGTCAGTTCACTAGGTATTTGTTCATATGTTGAATATTGCTGCAATATCTAGTTTGGGGCTTCTGCTATATATTTAGAGATTCTTGATAAAATCCAAAGAAGAATCTGCAATATCAATTCTGACCTGGTATCTTGGCTTCAGTCACTTTCCCATTGCCATAATATAGCTTCCCTGTGCCTTTTCTATAAATATTTTCATGGTAATTGTTCTGATGAGCTCTCCTCTTTGGTACCTAAACTTCATGAATTCAAGTGCAGTACAAGATTGGCAGTTAGATCCCATAATTTCACTGTTGAAATTTCTAGTTGTAAGTTTTATACTAATAGTTTCTTGAGATGCATTTCTTGATTGTGAAACTCTTCCAGCTTGCTTTCCTGTGAGCTACAATTTTCAAAAATCTAAATGAAACATCAATCATCATCAGTCTCCTTGAACTCTGTTCTTTTATTGTCCTGTTTCTTTCATTCTCAGTAACCCTTTGCATCTTAATGGCTATATTTATTTTATTTAGTTGCTGGAAGTAGAAGGGATAAGAAAAGAAATTAAGGGACTGGTGTGTTAAACATTTCTGGAGGATTTTTTTTTAAGTTACATTTAATATGGCAGGAAATATATAAATAAAAACAAAATCAGTTCACTTTTAAGAGTAAGAGAACTAGGCTTGTTTCTTGAAGGCTGAGTTTGTGATTTGTCATTGAAGCTCCAAAATGAACATCTTTTGGCACAAGATTATAGACATTTTACAAATATTCTCACAGAAATTAGAAACTTATTAAAAAAACTGCACCAACAAAGTGATAAAACCTAATTCACTAAACCATAGTAAATTTTCTTCAATGCTAAAATATCTTTATCTAATCAGAGATTGGAGTATTAAAATTATGTTGGGCAATAAATAATCTTTTTAAAAATATTTTTGCAGTATATTTTATAAAACCCAAAAAACAGTAAATCTCATAAGTTCTTGGTGTTGACATTGGAGCGTATGAACAGAACAGGCTCCATTTTGGGTTTGGTAGAAGCTGATAATTTTTAGAATAATTTTTCATGGATTCATTTAAAGAAAAAAAAAAGTCATTAAGATACGATCAATCTTAAATTTGCTAATAATAAAGTAAATCTTAACTCTTAGAAAAGCATCTTTTCTTGACTGTATGTGTGATAGTGAGAGAGAAAGAGAGAGAAAGCAGATAAGAGAAACTTTAAAAGGTTTCTGGGCACAAATCCAACTGACAGAGTAATCTCTTTGTTGAGAATTTAACAAGTATAGCTATCAATAAAATAATAGCTATGTTGTCATTAAGTTAAAAAGAAAAAAAAACCAAGCCATAAGACATTAAATCCACTGTTTGTTTGATAGAGAGAAAAAAAGATTAAACAAACATTTGCATTCCATTATTATCTTTAAGATGAAATCAGTGCAAGGAAAGATCAAAAGTAGATATGTTGACATTTGTAGATTAGGAGCCAATAGCTTAACTATGATTTCAGAAGAGAAAACAATTATGTTTTGATGTTTTTACATAGATTTTGTATTACTTTGAAGGTTATATTGAGTGGATACACATACTTGAGCAGGCATCCATTTATTTTAAACTGTAAATTTACATCTACTGGCCTATGTCTTTAAGAGGTTTAATGAAGCAAATGTACTTTCTGTGAAGGTTTGAATCTGCGTCCCCCTTGTAAGGGAAACCACCATAAGGCCCAACATGCAAAATTAAATTACCTTATTTAATATATATATATATATATATATATATATATATATATATATATGTGTGTGTATGTATGTATGTATGAAGAAATATAGTCTTAAGATGTGCTATATTTATGGGATAAAGTGCTCAATATCAGAGAGAGTGTAAAATATAAAAAAGTGAACATAGGCGTCAACACTTAGAGGCAACAGTCTGTTTCATGCTAGATGCAATCGTGGCCTGATGATTGCATCTAGCATGAAACAGACTGTCACCTCTAAGTGTTGATGCCTATGTTTTATATATATATATATATATATATATAAATATATAAAAAATAAAATATAGTTTTAAGGTATTCTATATTTATGGATTAAAGAGCACAGTATCAGGGATAGAATGTATATAAATATAAAAGTGGACATTAAGTCAACACCCAGAGGCAAGAGTGTTTCATGCTTAAACACAATCGATGGCCTGACAATTGCGTTTAAGCATGAAACAGACTCTTGCCTCTGGGTGTTCATGTCAATGTCCACTTTTATATTTACATACACTATCCCCGATGTTGAGCATTTTAACCCATAAATATAGCATACCATAAAACTATATTATACAGGCTGTGCCAGAAAAATCTCCCACATAATGCTAAGACATAAGCTTCATGAAAACACCATTGCCACTAATATCTTAGAGGGAGATATTTCTGCCACAAATACACATGCTACCACCAGTCCAGTCTTTCTTTTTCTACTCTTCACCTGTTTGACACAACTTTCTCTTGTCAACTATTCTCAACAAAAAGCCAAAACAGAATAAAAGAAAAATTATTATTATTATTTTTTTTTTACTATACAATGTGTCATTGCGAATTCACTGTATCTGAAGTTCTAAAAGAATCAAATCATTTTTGTAGTTGCATAAAAACTAAAGAGAATTTTAAATAGTGATAAAGCAAGTCAATTTTATAGCAGCAACATATTGGTTATGTCAACAAAAGAAACACTATTATAGCCTTTAACTTGAGGAAAGTTGTTCTTTTATCAAGCAACCACTGTGGTTGAATACATACATAAAAGATGAATGAAAACGAACTTTTCGAATGGACCTGTAATGCCAGTATGGCTAAGTTTCCATTTTCAAACTTATTTTCTACAAAATCATCAATTTTAAAACGGAGCTGTGGTGTGAGGGATGGTTTGATTAAAAAAAAAAAAAAAAAAAAAAAAAAAAGAGCCCACAAAAAGGACGTGTAATATATATATAGGGAGTATATAAATATGGTAAGGGTTAATGATCCAATAGATGAGATTTTCTTAAAAAAAAAAAAATAAATAAAAAAAATAAAGTGGGGGGCAAGTTACTAAGTATTAAACATGGACACTTCAAAGGAACAAAGATACAAGAAGAGTTTAAAAGTGATAGTGCAGTGCAATACATGGAAGATTCAACAGGCATTTTTCTGGTTTAATATTAATTCCCCCCCACCCTTTAAAAATCATTTGAATAGTTTAACTTCATCCACTCACTCTTCTGGTTATGTACATTCTTAATAATAATTATAATATTATTCTCCCTCTCCTTCTCTCTCTACACACACACACACACACATATGTGTATGTGTGTTTATATGTGTATTTATAGATATGTACATCTCTAGCTTGCCTCTTCAAAGAAAGACGTTGACATATTTTTTCCCTCTTCAAGACAAGTTCTGTGTTGGTGACCATTTTTTTTTTTTTTAACTGTACTCGACTCTTTGTTGTGAGCATTTTTAAGTTTTGGTTCATGGTGCCTCTAACACTTTCAGCACCAGAGTCTTTCAGAAGAAATGTCCAATCCACATGCAAACTGACAAATATTGAGAGACACCAGTAGCCAAAGAAAGAAAGAAAAACCTTACAAAATGTTGCCAGATCAAGAAAAAAAGCCAGGGGGACAAAGAAAAAAAAAAAAAAAGAAGAATGGAAAAATTTTGGGGACTTTTACAGCAGTCATTTAAAAAGGAAAAAAAATGTAATCTAACCAATTTCAATAGTAACTGATGGAGAGTTAAGTGGGTAAAAAAAAAAAAAAAAAAAAAAAGCAAAAAATATATCATTCAAAATTCTGAAATTTCTTTAATCCTCACCTCCAACTTGCAATAATTCGTCAATGAAATTGTGTTTTCTAGAACGCTTGATGCTATGCAAGTTATATATATATATATTTTTTTTTTATTTTAAAAATCGCCTTTTCCTCATCGTGGCATCCATTGAAACATTAACAAAATTGTATGGGAGATGAACACAACAAGAGTTAAAAAAAAAAAAAAAAAAAAAAATGAGCAACAGTTTCAAAATTTTTACCTTTTGTTTTTAAAAAAAAAAAAAAAAAAAAAAATAAGTGTATAATATTGGGGGGGGCATTAAAAATCTTTGAAATTCTGTTTCGTTCTTCTTGGATAAGCACTCTGAAGAATGGCAAATTTCACTTGAAGAAAGTTTTGTACAATACTGCTGACCGACATAAAGAACGGTCTTGTTCCATCAAGAATATTAAATCTTTTAGATTTACACGCTTGATTCTAGGACGGGACATCGCCTGTGGATTAGAAAAAAAAATTCATATTTTATATTAAAGGTTCAGGAAAAGAATGGATTTCTTTATTATATATATTTTCTGTGTTTTAACAGGTATACAATGTAAACAGTAGCATACATACTGATAAAGACATTTTCAAATTTTTTTTTTTTTTTTTTAAGGGATTTAATTTAGGACTCTGCCAACAATAATGCAACTCTCCAGTCTTCAAATGTTAAAAATCTCTCAAACATTTTCCCATTTTATTATGAGTAGGTTAGTGGATCCTAACTTTACTCCATTTGCCACCAAAATAGCTAACAAATTAAATATTTGAAGATTCTTAGACTTAGTTAAGCCTTAATACTACTCAATTCTCAGTTAAAGGTGTGTACTTCACATTTGGAATAACTGCATTAGGATATAGCAGTGTTCCAATTGAGTTGCTTAGAATGTATCAACTATTGAAAACACTGTCCTTTTAATTGCATGTTCATTATTAAAAGATTGGCATAAATTAAATTCATTTACCAAACATGAGTTTTAGTCTAAATAGACGTTTTGGTGGAGTTTGGTAAGTGATGAACAACATTTTTTATACTGATGTCTTTTCTTGGTCATCACTCTTTAGTAAAAATGCCCGTCATATATTAATGTGAAATTTCCCTTCACTATGTTTTGCACAATATTATAAGTCTGAGGTTTCTCTTGTTCAATACAGAAGTAGTTTTGAACAAGATGGTTACTGTTGATGGGGAAATCAATTTATTATGAGTAACCAAAAACAAGAAAAATTTCGGCTGGATCCAGAACAACATTTGACATCAAGGGAAAATGAACTACAGAAGGAATTTATTTTTTTTTTTATTTTATTTTTAATTGCCAAAATCTGGTCAAAACTCCTACTGAATAATGTTACAGGGAACAACTGGTTTATTTGAATCAAGTATTGAAAGAGAAAAGAAACCCTTTGCAAAGAAGTCATCCATTGATTTGGGTGTTAATCAGCATGTTGCAAATGAAATTCAGCAAACAAAGCAGAGCATGGAAAGTTCTTGCACATGTGACAGATTCAACAGTTTAGAAATTACCAAGATTAGGAAAATGTCCTTGAAAAATTCACTAGATGAAAACTGGAAACATTCATTTTTATGATAGAATATAACCCCCCCCACCTTGTAAAAAAAAAAAAAAAAAAAAAAAAAAAAACTGAAAGGTGAAAGAAATTTTTTTTCAATAATAGGAGAGAGAAAAAAAAAAAAAAAAAACTTCCCCCACCAAAAAAAGCTAAAAACAAAATGAAAAAATAAAATGCAAGAATAAAAAAATGCCAGTGTTTCCCCAGTTTACCTGTAAAGAATTCATCCTCCAACCAAGAAATGTGTACTGTAACTAAAATAACCAAAGACTAGATGCAATATAATGATTAATTAAAAGCAGACTAATTAAACTATATTTAAGATTGTAAACTGCCCCTTCTGTTTAATATAAATATCTAAGACAATCAGGTGAAAATCTGAGTGAGCCTTCCCGAGTACAAAGAAGAGATATCTTTGTTGTTTTTTTTCTTACCACTCTTTTTTGTTATTCTTTACTTGTGTTGTTTTAATGCTATTATTTAATTTTGTGCACTTGTTAAAATATCTAAATAAAATAATTTATAAATTGGTTAAGAAAAAATAAACAAACAAAAAATAAACAAACAAAAAATAAACTGTTATGTCGTGTATCCACTAAGTTCTTATTCCACTTCCGTTCTCGTTGGTGTCCATTTATGAGCTACCTGCTCATATGCAAATTATACTAATTTGCATATCACTACATCTCCCTATAACGGAGGGGCCTTATGCTTTGAGTACTTCTTGTACTTCTTCTTGTGCCCTCCTGAACATCTTCCTTTATCCCTCTCCTTTCCTTTGGAGATCTAGATCTATCACGTCTTTCCCTATAATCGAATTGTTCCTCTTGCATACTCTGGTCTTCCTCTTCTAACTCATCCCCTCTCTACTTCTCCCTCGCAGTTTCATTCTGCATTAACTCTTCTGATACATCAATAATGGGCATCTCTGAAGGCATTTCCTCATCAGATTCTTCTCCTTGGGATCTTATTTGGTCAGCATGAGCTAGAACACTGTTCCCATTTTCTTTATTTAATATTGCAGTATTATGTCCTTTCTGCATAATAAATTTGGCTGACTCTGGTTGCATATTCCTATTTCTTTTGTACAACTTCTTTTGATTTGTGGCATATGACATAGTCAAGGGGACCTTAATTGTCTGCCCATTAAGGCAGATGGACTTTCCGCCTGCCTGCATGTGGAATTGTTCTGTAACTTAATAGTAATCTTGGTAGGAAAGCATCGATTTCCTCCTTCTGTTGCAAGCATGCTTTTATGCCCTTCTTTACCGTCTGGACCATCCTTTCCGCTGCCCCATTACTTTGGGGTGGTAGGGAGGGGTCTTATAAGGTCTGCATCCTATTTTTCTTAGCCATTCATGCAAATCAGCATCCACAAATTCTGGTGCGTTATCAGTCACCAATGTTCTTGGTGTCCCATTCTCGAAAATATTACTCTTAATATTTGTTTTACGGTGGTACTTTTTTTATCAGGTACTCTCACCACTTCAGGCCAACCTGAATATGCGTCTACTAATATTAATAATAGTCCTATCCCATTGACATAGGCATGGTCCATGTGTACTCTGCTCCATGGTTCTTAGTTTTTCAAATTCACAGTATTTACTCGCACTTCTTAACCGGTGTAAATATTTTACTATCGGTTCATCCACTTCCTGCTTCATTGCCATAAACTTGGTCCTTTCTGCAATCACCAGTCTTTTCTTTGGCCTCATGTTTCCCTTAATAACCTGACTTATTTCTTCGAAAGTCATTTCTTCTAGTTCTCGAGGGTAAACCATTGTAGCAACCTTCATAATCGTTTCACAACCAGCGGTAGCCATGAACAAGTCGGTGATTTCATTTTCCCCTCCACTGTTTTTGTTGTCTTTCAACTTTTTACATCTAGCATTAGCAGCAAAGCAACGAATCCACGTGTCTACGTACTCTGGGTCTTCAAGGACCAAAGAGTATCCTATTGGCGACGCCATTGTTATGTCGTGTATCCACTAAGTTCTTATTCCACTTCCGTTCTCGTTGGTGTCCATTTATGAGCTACCTGCTCATATGCAAATTATACTAATTTGCATATCACTACATAAACAAACAAAAAAAAAAAAACAACAACACACTTATTTTCAGTTCATTCACCTTAGCAACAAGTACCATTTAAAATATTTCTAGAAAATTTATTAATACTTATAGACATGTTGAAATGTCTTTTCATAATGCTGAGTTGATTTTAAATGATTGATGATCTGTATGGATAGAGCTTCTGCTTTACATAAAAACTTTGAGAAAAATATTACAGAAAGATCACAAAACATTTTTTGGGAAAAAGTTACTTACAGGTCGAAGTGGAGATGAATTCAAACCATTTGTAAGTGAGGACGACGTTCCACTCTGTAAAGGATATTTCAAGAGATAAGTTAAAACAATGAAAGGATCAAGTTTGAAATAGATTATCAATATTGATAGAATCCATCAATAGTCAATGGAAAATTGTTTAACCAGATACACATTCCTTCCTGAATAAACATTAATATTTCTCAAATGGGTTGAAAATGAAAACTTTAATTTATATCCAGATTCTGTGTATTTATTTTTGAGTTTTTATAAACTTAAACTTTTTTGCAACATGCTGATGTGTGTTGAAATCCTTATAGTATTTAGTATTTTTGAAGTTATTGCTAACATTTTTGTCATGATTTACAAACTATGTTTCATTCAATTCCACAAACCAATCAATGAAATTTGAATAAGCTGATTTGTTTGGAAAAATACTTTGACAAAAACCCTACTTTGTGATTAATTTCTTTAATTTTATAGGACTTCATGGTAAACAATATTTTTTAAAGAAAATTTGTTTTCCCTTTTTAACAGCAAAGAATAATTCTTAGGATTTCTTACTCTTGAGCACACAACATACAACTGGCCATACATAAATATTTCTTTCTGGAGCCAAATTCCAACTTTTTGAAGTGTTTGGCCTTGTGATTTATCTATAAGTCTTGCAAACACTGGGTAAACTGAAAACGGGATTATTGTATAAAGAAAAGATATACAAAAAATATTGCATTTTTATTAAATAAGTATTTGTCATTTTAATCATTAAATTGTTCTTAAAATAGCGGGAGTATTTTATGCTAAATAATAAAACTTAATTTTTGAAAAAATTAATGAAAATTTATTGAACTAAGCTATGCACCCTAGTAAAACCCAACTGCACTTCATAACTCCTACCTGTTTGCACTTCTCCCCAAAATTTGATTTCAATCAGTCAATGTATGGTGAAATAGTGAAACCAAAGAGGGTGCGACGGATGGATAGACTAGCAGAAGTAACAGAATTTATATATATATATATATATATATATATATATATATATATATACACACACACATACATACATACATACACACACAGAGACATATAAACCTTTGTAAATCTACATTTAATCTGGGCTTTATTATTATTTGACAGATTTACACAAGATTCCTTAACCAAGGACATAGAGTTTAAGTCAGTGTGTTTAGTATAAATAGATGCCATAATTTTATTCAGATTTGTTTAAAATGCATTTACAGTTATCCAATTTAAAATGAAAATGTAAGAGGAGTAACTGCAAAATAATTTCACAATACCTCTTACTCCAGGAACACAAAATTGCTGTGATGGGGTGGAAGTGTATGTTTATAAACCTGAAAGCGGGACAAGTCAGCACTGAAAAAGTGAATCCCATTTTCAACTGAACAATGTACAATTTATTGATAAAGAAAAAGAAATGCTTACAGTATTTTATACCTGTTGTCTCCCACCTACTTGCAACAATTGGGTTTGAAGGTGATGAAACATTTTGTAAATTTACAGAAAAATATTATAAAGATTTAGACTTTTATTGAAATCATTCTTTTTTCTGCTCTCCAATTATGCTTAAAATGAAAACTAATTTCAAAATGAGAAATTTATTTCCTTGTATCATTACTGTAGCATATTTTATTTAAGGGTCCCTCAATTCTCATTTTTATTTCTAAACTGGTATCACTCCATGCATGGCAGTAAAGACACTAAAACACAAGGGGGGTTACAGCATGCAGAAGAATTAGGAACAGAAACATTAATAATAAATGGAAAGAAAAAAAAAAAGAGTAATCAGGAGGACAGTCAATAGTGATTGACATTGCATTTAAATTTTTGCAGATCAAAGTTGGCTGGAAAGCATGGAGCTGGTAGAGAGTTCTGCAAGTGAGAAAAAACTGTTAGCATAGAATTTATGGATACATCTAGCTAGCTCAACTGTAAAATGATGAGATCTCGTCAGTCTAGTACTGCGCTTAAATTTAAATGTCTAGGTACTATAGCGAAGAGCTACCATGAAATTAGTTATAGAAAAGGCACAGAGAGGCAACCTTATGGTGGAGGGAAAGTGACTGAAGCTGTGTTGCCACATCAGGACCAATAATATTGCTGATTCTTCTTTGCTATTTACCTTAAGCTCCTTGATAAAATCCAGTTTTCATTTTTTGTTTTTAAAGAAAAATCTAAAATTCATGAAATAAGTATATTATCAAATATTTAATGTATTTTCGTAGCAGATTTGTGTTCAGTTTTATGAAACTGCATATCCTAAAATCATAATTATAGAATACTGGCCAAATCCGTGTCTTACAAACATTTCTCTTAATAATAATTCAGAAGGTGATATTGTTTTATTTATGGTAACTAGATTTTTGGCAAATGCCTGACTTGGGTCCTGTTTGATACTGTATGCCTGAAAAATGGTGCTTTTATTGCAGGTGCTATTGTTTCTCAATCTTTTAGCTTGAGGAAGTTCAAATAATTGTAAACCCAAATTCCAGGGGGCTTTCCCCCCAGGCAGTACCTCTCCTTCAGGAGGGGGCTGGGTTTATTGCCTGGAGCCTGAGGTATCCCCAAAAGGGGAAGTGTTGAGAGGCTTTGGTATTGCTATTAAACCCACTTTAAACCTTGACCTTGTGTCACATTTGGGAACATTGTGAGCATGCTGAAAATAAACATTTCATGGCCTTTTGGCTGGGATCAAAGTGTAGTATCTACCCTTGAGAAGTCACCAGGTGACGTCTGTCGAATTCTTTGCTTTGGCAGAGAGGAACCCGGATGAAGCTTTGCCGAAGGGCAAGGGGCAAGGTTTTGTCCGGGGAGGTAGGCGGGTTCAAAGGGTATATTTTTGGTTGAGCCTATGGGCTCGGAGAAACCCACTTTAAACTCGGCCTTGTGCCACGTATATTCCTCGTGGGTGGGATATTAAATATTGTAGTATCTACCCTTGGGTGGATAAACTATATTTCATTTCTCAGTTGTTTGTCTGCAGACAGAGCGCAACTGAATATATTATCAAGAGGTGCAGCAGTACCTCTCTCATTGCACTAAAGAGGTTTGGGGGGGGTAGGGAAGGATGGCAGTAATACCTATGACAGTGCAATTGTTGGGCTGGGCTATTTTTGGATCTGGTCGGAAAAAAAAAAAAAAAAGTGCTCAGGATTCCCCATTAAACTGTCACATCTTGCCGGCAATGGGATGGCAAGAAAATACAATCGATTCTCGGCCTTTTGGCTAAAATCAAAGTGTAGTATCTGTTCTCATCTACTTAATTACATTCTCTCTCTCTGATTTTCCCCCTTTCTATGCGATCAAAATGGAATATTTGCAGGGTGTAACAATTGTGTGAACTAAGGAAGAGAAGGAGGAGGCAAACAATTATAAAAGGATATTTCCTCCCTTCCTTTCTTTCTTTAAGACTAACAGACAGGTTTATCAAATAATTTCATATTTGTATATTTAATTGCTAAATAAACAAGCAATCTAATTTTTCTAATAAATCATTTTTATGAGTTAATGCTATAGAGAGGAGACAAATGTGAATTAGTTGTGCCCGATAAGATGAAAGTCTCCCCTCACTTCTTGCAGGAGAGGATCTGTGTTTTCATTTGAGTCAGAAACCTGAAATTGATATTTAATAATCAGAAATCTGTACAGAATTAGTGATTAAAACGAAATTTTGATTTCAATTTAAAATACACCAATCAGCTTGTTTAATTTATTTTTCAAAATTTGCTTTTAATAGTTTTAGTGACTAATTCTAGAAATGTGTTACATTTAACTTACCTGACTTGTGTCTCCCATCTCAATTTTCCGCTTTTTTCGGGGACCTATGGCTGCTAACGCTGTGATATTAGCTTCTCGTTGTCGCATTTCCTCCATTTCAGCTTGTTGTAACTAGAGGAAAAAAATTTTTTATTTTAAACATATGCAAAATGTTTCTGTAGAGCCACTTGTTTGGGTTTGGTAATGAGATTTTCTTTATATTTATTCAAAATCTTTTTTAACTATCAGATCCTTGGAATCTGTCGGCAAACTTTACTTTAAAATGAAAAGAAAAATATTGTTTATTATAAACAACAGAGCAATGAAAGCTCATGAGATTTTTCAAATAGTTACAAAGAACTTGAGTCATCTGTCAGTTGGGCATAACTAGAATCCATGAGTTATGGACAATTTGTGTAATAGAAGTAAAGAAAGAACACTGAGTGTTTATGTATCCATTAAACGTTATTTTCAGTGGATACGCATATTTGAGAGGCCACTCCATTTATTTTAAACAGTATTTTATTTCATGTATCAGCCTGCACACAAAAGAAAATGCACCCTCTGACAGGATTCAACTCTGTGTCCCCCTTTGTAGGAGAAACTGCCATGCTTTGACAATCAAGCAAGGTTCTATTTGTCGTTAAAGCACATTTAATCATAAGTCATAACTGCTCAGATTTGTATCTAAAACATAAAGCCAATTCTAAAGTAACACAATGCTATATATATATATATATATATATATATATATATAAAACAGCTGGCCACTCATATTTGAGGATACCTATCTACTAGGGTGGCTAGCCAATCCCTATTGCAGACGTCTGCTCTGTGGTTTATACTGCAACTATGCTGAGAAGACCTTAGTTACAGTTTACGGGAAAGAGCATGTTATCTAGCATGATCAACAATTTGAACAAGGGCAGCATGTTCAAGCTCTTGGCCACGATGACTTGTGACTTCATTCTAGTACAGCTATCGATGACTCACAAGGGTTCTGTCTATCCAATTTTCACTCACAAGGCTTGGGTCAACCCATGGTACGATTTTCAGGCACTTTCCCTCATTTGGTATCTGTGGCAAGAGAGTCTACCATATATATATATATATATATATATATATAAAATAAAAAGCAAAATGGTCAAAGAATGAAAAAGTAGTGCAAAATAATATATAAAATATCAGAAACACTGACCTTCTTGCAACTATGGTTTCTGTTGAGAAGGTTCCTACAGGCAAGCCTTTTCAGCAGAAACCATGATTGCCATGTCAGTGTTTATGATTATATATATATATATATATATATATATATATATATAAAATAGTGGACTCTCTTGCCACAGACAACAAATGAGAGCTCAGTAAATAAAAAGGTGCTCATTTTCTATGGACATGTGTCTCTTTAGGCCTGCTTGTGTTTCGTAAACTTTTAGACAGATGGAAAGATGGAATATGTGGTTGAGCCATTTCACTTGGGTAGTTGAGGATCAACTGCCATATCGTAGTCATCAGCAGAACTTGTTACAGAGTATTGGAGTGCTCATTGACATTTCCTTCTGCATGAAATGAGTCCTATGTTAGATCTGAAAAGACATCTGAAGCCACTATATGTTAGTGTAGGAGGGTTTAAGGGATAGAGAGATCAGGCTTTTCTTTGTCTCTACTATTTGTCTTAGGGTATTTTCAAAGGATGTTGTTTTTTCATGGACTGCTCTTCTCCAATTGAGAAGAAAATTCTTTGAGCATGAAAGCCTTGGCTGTGAATTGACTGAGGTGGTCCATGGGCTGCCACTCCATGGCACACACACACATTTCAGCTGACACCATCTGCTGCAGCTTGACAGACAAATTCATGATAACAGCTCAATTGCCACATGTTTTTATATAAACCCTGCATTTTCCTGTTTATGTAGCATTTTTCCTGCTGAAGTTAAATTTAGCAAAGATAACTGATCCTCTGCCTTGTCCAAATGCTATAAATGAAAACCATTATGATAAATATAAGTTGCAATTTAAAATTTTCTTTAACAATATTTCAATAAATATGTGGCATTTCTACTACATATTCAGGAGAGTATATTATATAGATATGGGCATCTCTCCCACCTTTAGATAGGGGACTCTTCTTACAACAGAAAAATGACATATACACTTGTCATATATGAATTATAATATTAAAACAATAATTACCTCTTTTGCTTTTTGTTTAAGCTTTAACTGTTCTGGGTCTTCATGTTTTGATCGACTCTGAAAAGAAAGCAAAGAAAAATGAATTAATTTACCTTAGAGAATTGTACAAATTTAGAAAATAAGGAGAAAATAATTACCATATACAGAGCAATCTTGGTTCTCAAATGTCGAACAAATCTCTTTTCGAACAGAAAATTTGAGATGAAAATGTCTGAGTTATTAAACAAAATTTCAGTTCTCGAACAACATTGCCAAACCAAGTTAACCCAAACGGAATCATTTCTGATTCAACCACTGTGTTTTATAGATTTGTGTATTATGCTGTGCTTTTCCAATTTTATTGTACTGGTTCTTTTTTTCTTTCTTTTTTTGTAATGGGGAAAAAATGACTTGGTTTTCGAAAAATTCGGTTTTAGAACAGACTTTCAAAACAAATTATGGTCAAGAACCGAAGTTGCTCTGTACTTATATACACCCTTGTGCAAATTAATTAAAACAAAATGAATAATTCTGTTTTTTACTTTTTTTTTTTCCAATGAAACATGACTCAGTGCACATATTAGTACTTCATATGTCCATTCCACAAAGTCGTTCCTTGCATATTGACCACAGATTCTTGATTAGATTTAAATCAGTAGAGTTTCCGGGCTAGTCTATAGTACTTTGATTTGCTCACTGGTAAGGCTTGCCAGTGTTTGTGCAGCATTACAATTTTTGTATGCTTCCTTGGAGTAATGTCCATTGCAGACAATGGCTGTAGGACAATTAATCGACAGTCAAAACAATAGTGTCTGGGCGTGATAAAAATCTGATGCAATCACGGATGACACAATATTTTTCAAGGCCAAACAAATTTCATCATACATCCCGAAAATAGATTCATATTATGGCACACCACTGCAAATGACCTAACCTGAGGAAAAAATAGAAATCGATTACACCGTGTCACTCCAGTGAGTATGGAACTGACTGTATGGTGAAAGAAAGAAAACTAAAGTAGTTGTTTCAATTAATTTGCACAAAGGTGTAGATGTGTGTTTAAGCAGATCCAAATATAAGCTGACGCCCCCTCCCCCTTCTGTGAAATGGACAAAAAAATCTAGGCCATATATAGAAACTAAGGCAACTACTCAACATCATTATATCAATATAGAGTTGGTATTTTATATATATGTTTAACTTTTGGAACAAAGCATCTGTATAAGTACAAACTGATTTGAACATTTAATAAATGAAAACTGATTAAGGAACTAATCACTCGCATGCTGGGAGATATAAAAACAAATGCTGTGGGCACTAACAATGTCCTGTAAAATGCTTCTAAACTGTTAAGTAAAACAGTGTTTCATTGTGAAGTAATCACTTCAGATATTGCCCCTCCTTTTTTTTTTGTTTTCTAAAATTCTTTTTATTATGTATGATAAAGCTGGTGAGAATTAGAAAAATATTTACCTTAAATATAAATCTACCATTTATTTTACCATAGATTTTTTTTTTATATCTTAGCTAATACAGTGTGTGGCAGAAATACCTCCTACATAATGGTAAGACATTAGTGGCAATAGTGTTTTCATCTAGCTAATGTCTTACCATTATGTGGGAAGTATTTGTGGGAGGTATTTCCTCCACGCCTTGTACTTTGAAATATTTGTGTACTGACGTCATAAAGTACCTGCTTTGGAAGGCTAAAGTAAGAAATTCTAAAATTACAAAAATATACTGACATAAGCAATTATAAAACAAAAAGGGTATTCGCTATATTAATCTATACTCTTATTGCCTTCAGAATAACTCAGCAAAGTTTTTTTTTCATGACAATCTACTTTTACTATCATAAATGGAGTTTGAAATCATCTAGCAAGTCTTACCATTATGTGGGAGTTATTTCTGTTGCACCCTGTACTGTATATACAGTAGATTCACATTAAAAGAAGCCAATAGAATCTTGGCCAATAGTACTTCAAGAACACTTGAAAATTTTTAGAGATGAATAAAATGATAGAATTGTGAAGCTTAGTTTTTAATACAAATTTCACTGCTTGTAACTTCACATTTTTATGAGACCTCTCCAAATAAAAATTTGACTTTACATAAAAAAAATTAGCATGGGTAAATGAGTTTACAATGTGCTGGAAGCAAATGAGTAAATGCCTGTACCTTGAATTTTTCACTTTGGTACCTACACTTTATGAATACTAGATTGGTAGCAAGGTTTCATTATTTTACAAGTGAAATTGCTAGATGTGACCATAAGTTCTATGATAATAGTTTCTTCTATCACACTTTTGGCTTGTGGAACTCTTTTCTGGTTTCTTGCTTATCAGTCAAGTTTGATCTTTGATTTAAATGTAATGTAATGTCAATTGTTATCTTGTCTTTTTAATTCCTGTTCTTTTATTGTTCTTTCCTTAAGTGTTTTTTTCCTCATATTTCCTCACAATCAGTAACCCCTTGCATCTTAGTGTCTTTATTGCCTTACTTGAGGTGAAATGATTAAAAAAACCTTATACAATTAGAACACAAGTTGAGAGTTGGCTGTACTATTCCTTATACAATACATTATTTAAATACATTAGTGCAGGAGACTAAAGATACAGTGGAGGCTATAATAGAGAAAGGTACTTGAAGCAATTGATTCATTTTTTATGGCTTATCAACTCTTTGCAAGTTTAAATAACCTGCAAAGCCAGAAAATATTTTTAGACTGTGAGAATTTTTTTTTTGAGATAATGATTTAGTGATACACGTCTTACTAATTAACCTATAGCTGGTTCTTAGATTCCATTGAGGTGATTTCATACCTTTCCCAGGGGCATTTGTGTGTAAGTGTATATAACAAACCCAACAGGAAATTGGAACTACGCTCTAACAATTCCAAGATAATATCCATTATACAACTCGCACATCCAGGCTTACATCACCTGATATGCCCAAGCAGTCATCCTTCTAAGTACTGACCAGGCTTGACATTGCTTAACTTCAGTAATCATACAGGAACTGGTGTTTCAATGTGATGTGGCCATAAGTCTGTACTTGAAACGCACAGGCACATGTCATTTGAGAAATGGGAAACTATTATTAGAATACACAGATCTATTCAAACTGGGTACTCAATTTTGGTTGAGCCATAACTTGAATAATATACATTGTTTTTCACAGAATGTGTGCAAGTATAAAACAATTTATAATTCATATTAAAAAATAGGATTCATATATATTTTTTTTAATCATTTCTCCATAAGCAAGGTAATAAAACCACTAAGATGTAAGGGGTTACCAAGTGTTAGAGAATATGAGAAAAAGAAAACATTATTAAAGAGAGAGAACAATAAAAGAACAGGAATTAAGATTACAGAAGATAATGATTGACAATACATTTAAATTTTTGAAGATCAGACTTGATTGGAAAGCCAGAAGCTGGAAAAGAATCCTACAAGCAAGAAGTGCAATAAAAAATTATTAGCATAGAACTTATGGTTACATCTAACCATTTCAACCATAAAATGAGGAGACCTTTCTGCCAATCTGGTATTACACTTAAATTCATAAAGTACCATTTGTTGAATATTGGTTAATTGCAAGTGGTTTGACATGCAGGTAGACTGGTGTAGTCACTCAAAATGAAAACAGTTATTTATTACTGTATACAAATATAATAATTGTGGCACATGGCCGAAAGGGAAGTGGGAAGAGGCTGATCTTCGCTAACTTTCCTAGTTAATCACAATGACTCATTCGTCCAATACAATGGATCTATTTATCTCAAGAACTCATTCATCACCATTCAATCCTACATATACCACAATACCACATACTCACCGAGGGAACCTACAAAAAACACCCGACGATATAAAAAATTTCAAAATAACTAAATACAAAAATATATAAAAATTTCATGAAAAGTGAAATGAGGGGGAAGGAATGAACCCTGGAAACAAACTAAAATTGGAACAAAAACTAAAACAAAACAGATGTTAGTAAGACCCATTCACCCCTCAAAATAATCAGAGTGGCTGCTGTATTCTGCCGATAGACAGAATCAAGTAGCACACTCACTAATGAATTGGGAAGGATAAAAATAAATGATGGAATGGGAAAAAAAAAAAAATCAAAGTCTGCTCCAACTGAGATGAAAACGGAGACCAAAAACAAACTGGGGAGGTTGGGACTCTCGACATGGATCATAACAAAAGAGAGTGCCGGGAATAGTCCAGGAGCAACACTTATTTATATTAACTAGAAAAACAAAGAGTGTCTAGCTTAACCAGGGGGAGGGATCACAGGAAACCGCCCTGTTGTGACCAAGTGGACTTAAAAAGGAACTCAATGTTAGCCCCTTTCACACAAACCAAGCTCGCTACTTTCACCCACCTTTCGCTGAAATCTGTTGATATCAAACACTTTGTATCAGCTCTCATCTTTACTTTCAGCTGATGCTGAAAGAATCTGACCAGAGCTGCAAGAGAATAAATTTCATATCGCAAGATTATCTCCATCCGCAATGTCCAAATCACCATTTTCCATCAGAAACAGCATTCATTTCTTCCCAGAAAATGGGGGCAACACATTATCACACACGTATGCGAGATCAATGAGCACGAAAACATCGGGAGCGATATGAGCCTTCAACTCACTGATATAATCCCAGAAAGGGTGTACCTGAGGACAATGGTAGAAGGTGTGTGAAACTGTTTCTTGTAAGCCAAGGTCACACTGATGACAGGCAAGCAAATCCGCCCACCCCCATCTGAAGATCCTGTCATTGAGAGATAGCACATTCTGAATCAAACTGCAAACACTGTCAGGATCTTGGCCAAAATCTTTAACTCTGTGTTTAGCAGAGTTATGGGCCTGTCATCATCTAATTCCCACCCTCCATCCTTGCCCCTTTTCAACAGCGTGACTACACTCCTGGTAATCCAACTGGGGATGGACCCCTGCTGAAACCAGTTGTTGAACACGGCAGTCAAAATCGGCAAAGATGTGCGACAACCTCAAGTACAATTCATAGGGTAAACCAAGTCCTGGAGACTTGCCACTGCCGACCCTCTTCAATGCCAAATAGACCTTGCCTTCCATGATCTCTCCCTCACAGTTAGCTTCTTCAGGCGGTGAAAACTGAGGAAAGTCAGCCAAATAGTTTCAAAACTCATTGCCACTGAGACCAGGCTCCTTGGTAAATCAGCTCTCAAAATGCCGCTGAAACACCTCACACATATAATCAGTCAACCTCAGAGTACGCTCCTCTGGGGTTTTGACCTCATGAATGTAACGATTGGAACCTCGACAGATCTCTTCCTTGCGCAATTGTGCGCCCATGTTCACAGCTTCGTTAGACATCTTGTTTAACCTATGCCTAACTACCTAACCCATGTAGTGCTTGCTAGTCGATCACTCAAGAGTCTGCCTAGCTAAACTCATCTCTAAATGATCCCCCCCCCACAGCCTCCGACTGGGACAAACTATCTTTAAGTGTTTTCACCTAGTGCGAGCCTCTGGCTATATTTACTGGTGAAGGACCTAATCCTATCCTTAAGCCTCTCCAATCACCTATTCCCAATAACTGCCCCAATTAGCTCCAGCTGCACAAATTTAAGTTTAATTAGCTGTTGCTGAGAGTCCCGCCTGTCCAGTAAAGACAGATTGAATTTCCAGTGTCCAGTCATTCTAGGCCTAGAACCTAACGCTATCCGAGCACAGAGGAGTCTATGGATGGATGGATGGATGTTGGATTTAACGGCATGTCAACTCCTATTTGGGTCATTTTATGCCGAAGCCTTATTTATTTATGTATTTAAGATGGTTATATTGTATAAAAGGTTGAGAGGTTGTTGGGTTTCATAATCTACTGTATTTTTTGGGGATTGCTTTTTCTTGTGATTGTTTCTGATTGTATATTTTCATATCTACATCCATGCGTGCATATATATGTCTATAATATATATATAAACATATATATATATATATATATATATATATATATATATATATATATATACATACACTATTTGAAAGGGTTATATTTTGTTGAGGATCTTGATTTCTTTGAGAAAGTTGTATATTTTATCTGTGTCTGTATTTTTAAAAATTTCTTTTAAGCCTTTTCCAATGAGATATTTTTGTCTTATTTTAGTTATGGTTTTGCATTCCAATAGGATATGTTTTATTGTGATTAGGTTTCCACATCTGCATTTTGGTGGATTTGTCTTTTTTAATATATAAGAATGGGTTAAGTATGTGTGTCCTATATGTATTCTGGTTATAATGACTTGTTTTTTTCCAAGTATTTCCAAGATTATTTCCCCATTTTAGGTTTAATTTGAAATAGTTTATCTATTTTAGATTTTAAGTCTGTATATGGAATTTGAAGATTTTCGTCTATTGTCATTTTTAAAGATGATTTAGCAGCAGTATCTGCCTTGTCTCCTCCTTGGATGCTGACATGGCTAGGAATCCAGCAGAAGATGATATTTTTGCTTTTCGTCTTTTGAGCTGTCCGTGTAAATACTTTGATAGTTTTGATATTTTTATTTTATTTTTTAGAATTTTTCAATGTATGTTGTGGGGGTGTGTTTTTGATTTTGATAATTTGTTTAAACTTAATATTATGTTTGGATTTTTGATTATCCATGGTGGTATGTTTGATTGGTTGGTTTTAAGTATTTGATTAGACTGTATATTATTTTCTTGGATGATTCCTTCCATTCGGAGTCCTAATGTTTTGATTTTATTTGTGTTAAGATTAAATTTCTCTATGATTTGGTGTAAATACACAGTCGTGTGTGGGGTTAGAAGGGCAGGAAGAGAGTTTAAGATAGTATTGAGTTGCTAGTTTTTCCTTTCTTAGTTGTAATGGGGGTTCGTTTGCATGTAGACTCTCTATAGGTGAGGTGGGATAGGCTCCTAGAGCTATCCGAAGGCCTTCATGGTGTATTGTATTTGTTGTTTTTAGATAGGACTTTCTAGTTGATTGGTAGACCATGCTGCCATAGTCCAATTTGGAACGGATCAACGTTCTAAGAAGGGTTTCTTCGCTAGCACCCCATTCCGTATGGGCTACTGTTCACAGTAGTTAAAGAGCTTTAAAACATTTTGTTTTTAGGTAATTGATATGTGGTCTAAAGGTCAGTTTGCTGTCAAAGATCATTCCTAGAAATTTGTATTGCTGAACTACTGGTATTTCTTCATTTTTTTAGTTTTAGAGTTGGGTTATTGTGTAATTTTTTCAGTTGGCAGAAGTGTACAGATTTTGTTTTTGTTTTTGATATTTTAAGACCGTTTTTGAGTGTCCATTTGTTTATTTGATGTAAGCATTGTTGGAATTGTTTTTCTGCTGTGTTGCGGTTTCTCAATCTGTAATATATTGTAAAATCATCAACGTAAAGGCGACAGTATATTCCTGGTTTGATGTTTTTTATTATATCATTTTTTATTTATTTTGAAAAGTGTAGGGAAGAGTACACTTTACTGTGGTACTCCCTCTTCTTGCTTTTGATAATCAGATAGTGTAGCATCTATTTGTACTTGGAAGAGTCTATCTGTTAAAAATCCTTTTACAAAGTTTGGTAGTCGACCTCTTAGTCCTAGTTTATGCAGATCTTTCATTATACCATGTTTCCAGGTTCGATCAAATGCTTTTTCTATATCAAAGAATATGGCTATTAGATGTTTAAATTGGCCTCTCTTATGGCTGTTTCTAGTCTTATTATGTGATCTATTGTCCTTTATTATATCCACATTGATATTTTGATGTGTTTTCCTTCTAGAAATCAACTCAATCCGGCATTGACCATTCGCTCCATTGTCTTACATAGACAGCTTGTTAATGCTATTGGTCGGTAACTTTGTGGATTGTTTCCCTCTTTTCCTTCTTTTAGTATGGGAATAATTATCGATTCTCTCCATATTTTGGGAAATTTCCCAGTTGTCCAAATGTTGTTAAAAATATTCAAGAGGTATTTCAGCGATTCTTGTAGTGGTTGTTTAATAAATTCATAGTGGATTTGGTCTGGGCCTACTGCTGT